CCCCATATCTATAGCAACAGACACTTGGAAACTATTCAATTGATCGGTCTGCAAACCCCACGGTTAACTAGGATTTCAAAATATCTAAAATGTTTAAGAAAGTCACCATTGCTCCCTGAAGGTCCAAACAAAGTATGAATTTTTAGTTACACTTATTTTTAATCTTACAAATGATTTCTAGCAAATATTTATTTAAAACTCCACAGACGTGCTGGGCCTGGTGGCATACACCTGGGAATTCCAGCTCTCAGAAGGCTGGGGTAGTAGGGTTTCAACTTCAAGTCAAGCACGGATCATGTAACTAGAACCTGTCCTGGAAAAAAAAAGTTCATAAAAGAAGTACTAAGTATTATAGGTAAAGTAAGAAATATTATCTTTACAATGTTTGCTGTTACCTGTATAACTATAAAATATCAACCTAGTGATGATTCCACATAATTTGTATTGTATCTTATGTTTTATTATTTGAGAAAGGGTTTCACTATATATCCCTGATTGGCTCGGTCTTACTATGAATAAAATTTAATTTTTAGAAACAATTTTGTACAAATATTTCCCTCCTGTTTTACTTCCTCATACGCAAATCCCAGAAGCCAGTGTGATATCAAAATCCTTTGGAACTCAGGGCATGTGCTTGAATGGTATTTTCTCCCACTTAGCAGTAATTTTTCAAAAAAAAAATGCAATAAAGACCATCCAAAAGATGTGATCATTAGAGATCTCATGGTAAAATCATGACAGAACAATAAGGAGTCAGGTTATCACAGTAAAATAATGCATCACCGTGCGTTACGTAAGGTTCCATGAAGAACGAAGTTTGTGATGAGTAAAATGGTCCATCAGGATTAGACAACATTGACTCATGAGAATGCCTCTCTCTCTCTCTCTCTCTCTCTCTCTCTCTCTCTGTGTGTGTGTGTGGGGGGGTGTGGGTGTGTGGGTGTGTGTGTGTGTCAGTGAGGGTATCTTTCTGTCAGCCTAACTGTATATAGAACAGGCTAGACTCAAATTCATAGATATGCCTGCCTCTGCCTCCTGAGTGTTGGGATTGCTGTGTTTCAAGATCTAGATTTTTCTTTTCCTATGTTTTCTTTCCTTTTTCTTTCTTTTTCTTCTGTCTTTCCTTCCTTTCTTTCTTCTTTCCTGCCTGTCTGCCTGCCTACTCCTTTTTTTTTTTTTTTTTTTTTTTTTTTGTTTGTTTGTTTGTTTTGTATTCTGTCCCTTTACCTATTTGTAAATAGAGGGCAAAAAATATAACCCTTGAAAACTTAGGTATTCAAAAATTACTCTCTTTCTGATTTCAGGAGAAGTTAAGACGCATTAGGCAGTGAGGAGTGTGTTAAGGACATGGTGGGAGACCCAAAGTCAAAGCACTCATCTCCACGGTACCGAACTGTTAGGAACTGTTAGGTCCCGAGACTTGGATCAGTATTTTGAGACTATAACAAGGAATTAAATTGTGTGCAAAGTTGTTTACAGGTAAATTATGCCATTGTTCTTCAATAAGCATTAAGCATCACCAAGTCATACCTTAATCCATGGGCTTCAGGATGTTAATATGTTTCATCCCGGAATGAGAGATGTCAGGGCATATAGTCTTATCACAATTGCCCTAGTGTTAAAGTGTATCATTTCCTTCTTTTATTATTTTTGTATTTGGGGAAGATGAGAAAGAGAAACCCAATGAGAAAAGAATTAAAAAGGTTCGGGAGGCATCCTGCAAATGAGCCAATGTAAGGAATGGTGGCAGTTAATAAGCAATTAGATTTGTAGAAGAAAACGAAGGAACGGGAGTGCTAAAAGTTCTGTAGCGATTTAAGATACAAAGTCACAAGCCTATTCCAAAAACTGCCAGCAGAGGTCGCCATGCTAGGTGAGTTTGCTTTGCAGCCCTGGTTCTTAACGTTTATTGGACAACATTCCCTTTATCTATGGCTGAAAGGAGGTGGGGTTAATAACGCACCTCTTCGCAATAATAAACTGCATTAAATGCGCGTAGGGGGGAAGGTGTAGATGTGTCTCTGCAACTGTCTCCAGAGCGCTCCTACCCAGCTGAGCATGTGGGCCCAGAAAAATAAATATATTGATGAAAATACCTATTTTACTCAATTCCCCTTAGAAATTCAAAACCCTGTCCCTCCTTTGCATCTGCGTTTGGCTGTGTTTGTGACAGCATCTTTCTCTGAGAAGACGAACAGGCGATGATACGAAATTAATGGAATGTGGAAGAAAGTTTCCCTTTATGAATCTTTTTTTCTCTGAAATTTAGTTTTTTGTTTGTACATTTTTGAAGTACTTACACTTTACAGAGTATTTCTAAAGTTAATGAATTTGCTAAGAGTTAGGTTTTTCAAAGTGCTCTTAGTGATAACATGTTTTCAAGAACCGAGAAGGAGGAAATTAAAAAATAATAATAAAAAAATAAAAAATAAATGAACGGCTATTCGGCGTTTGAGTCTCCAAAATTCCTACAGAGGGCGGTGTTGCCCGTTTAATGAAGGAGGGACTGTTTCCCTAGGAGAGGTTTGCCCTGGAATAGCTGGTGTTTTTGTTGTTGTTATTGTTTTTACAAAATGCTACATCGCAGAATTAACAGGAGTTTCTATTAACAATATACATTTAATCGGGTAGTTATCATATATGTATGTATGCGTGCAAAAGTTTTTAGTTTGTTTTATTCTTAATAAAAACAGGACTCATTTTTAATGTTTTTAGGGGAAAAAACTTAGTTGAGTTTTTAACAAATACCAAGTACATCCCTACTTTTAAAAATATCGAATATTAGTATAATATTAGCATAAAATAAAACACAAATGAAAATTTGAAATTCTACATAAATGAGGCTACAAAATAATCAGATTAGCACACTATATTGCCTATTTAAATAGTTTCATACGTAAAATTGTATCTTCAGTTTGATTTTGGTTTTAGTAAACCTTGGAGTTTATTTCAGATTAGTCAATGATATGTCCAAAAGTGATTTAAAGCTTTAACATATTTAGAGAAAAAATAAGTTTTTCCAAATGTTTTTGGTTTGGACAGAAGTTACCTCTCATCAAGAGCTAGCAGTTTTGACGATTTGAGAGGGTGATGGGAATTATTCTTGTTATTAAGTTTGTGTCGTGAGAATTTTAATTTCCAAATCTATAATACCTAGCTTTCAGAGTTTTACCAAAGGCTGATTTAGTTCTAGAGAGGGTGTGGGACCCACGTTAAGTCCTTCCACACAATGACATCAAGTGGACCGATTTCCTGTCTCCTCACCAACTCTGGTGGAGAAAGGGGGACGTGCTGTTGACACTGGAAAACTAGTCTGGTTTTGTGGCTTAAGATGATTTTTTTTTTAAGAAGGAAGAAGGGGGGAAGAAGAAGAATGGGAAGGAAGGAAGGAATAAAAGGGGAAGAGCGAAAGAGAGAGAAGGTGAGGGGAGTGGAGGGGGGGACATAAGGGTGGGAAGAAGGACAGGGGTGAGGACGAGTCCCTCAAGTTCTGTCTGAAGCAACCCTTCAGTTGGCTTAGGGTAAATTAACAAGGATGATGACAACGGCAACAACGAAGACGGTTTGTTGTGCGAGGTGGGAGCCCTCAGCTTGTCTGGTGAAAACGCTGTCTTCCTAGGCTAAACGGAGCCCTCTGCTCGCTTGCGGAGCCTCCGACCCTGGTGGAGCCCTAAAGTGCACTGGAGTCCTGGGTTTAAAGACAATACCCTCTACAGATTCACTCTCATCAGGTTTAATAACTTCCACCCCAAATTACCCCAACCTTCCTCATTCCCTTCTGTCATTTATTTTCTGCCCCAGGGGCCAAAATCTTCTTCAGTGCCTCTCCCTACTGGCTCCAGAGAATCTTCTGCACCCAGAAAGAGAGGAGGAGAAAAACAACGGGGTGAGGGAGAGCTAGTGAATATAGAATTTCTGGTGAAATTAAAACAAAACAAAACAAAAAGCAAAACACACACATAACCTGTGCCTTACTAAGCACCCATTTGAGGCTAGATTTGCTTTATTCTTGCTATTATTTATGCTTCAAAAAATAAATCAAACTACACAAATCACCTATTCAAAAGAAAATTTACCCCAAAACCAACCTGACCAAACAAAATTAACTCTTGTACACTTCCCACCATCTCCTTAAAGAGTACTAAGCTTAAACCTTGTTAAAGATTCTGCTGTCCTTTTTTTTTTTTTTTTTTTAATCTACCAGGTCAAAATCACAAATTATAGTCAACAAAAACAAATGTAAAATGTCCTGCACCTCTGTTGAAAGTCTCAAAATTGACATGGTCGGCTTTGGTGTTTCCAACATGTGAAGACCAAGAAGAAGAAGAAGAAGAAGAAGAAAAAAAAACTTGATAAACAAACAAGCAAACAAACAAAAAGGACACCTAGGATCCCCTGAAAATATACAACCATTCCAAAGCAACAAGCAACATATGATATTCAAGTTACCAAATGTGTTAGGCAAAATGAACAAAAACATCAGAAATCACTGTGGTAAATAGTTTGTTGTTGTTGTTGCTCTACAGTGATACTGTGGTTTTTAATATTTGTACAGATATGGAAAAAATAGCTCTTAAAATCGAGGAATCCAGATTTGTGAAAAATACTCTTCTGAACACACAGGAATGGGAAATTTGTGTTTTAAAATCTAAATTATGGTTCCCTTAAGAAAATGTGTAGAAAATTAGGGGGCTGGTGTCCCCAGTTTCTCATTATCAACTCTTATAAGACTTTAGTAGGTAGTTTCTTTGAATGATTCACCATTGTCAAAATAGAGATAAAAAAAAAAAAAGAAAAAAGACTATCTTCCCTTTAAATGCCCTTCCAGTCTGTGGATTCTGTAACCCACGGGTGTTTGGGTAACTAAATGTGGGTATCTGCGCGTAAATTCGTGTTTATGATATTTTTATAATATATGTGTGTGTGTGTGCGCGCTCGCGCGCGCGTGTGCATGTGTGTGTGTGTGTGTGTGTGTGTATGTGTGTGTGTGTGTGTGTGTGTGCGCCAGCGCGTTGTATCTAAGTCCTGTGTGCAATAATGTTTTTCTGTCTGCTGAGGCTTACTTCTCCAGCCTATTGTTTGAGACAACAGATATAAGTTGCGATGGGAGAGGAGCGTCGGATTTGGTGTGTATCCCCCATTTCCAATTATAGATGGATCATTACAGACAGCGGAGTCCTGAGAACCCAGACATCTGCTCCTCACATGAATGCACTCACCTCCTAGAGACCAGGCTGCCATCATGCTCTGGAAACTCGTGGAGAATGTCAAGTACGAAGACATCTATGAGGTGAGCGGACACCCCCAGATGCATTTTAGAGCTTTGTGCATAGAAAACTGGAGCTTCTTGACACCCCAGTTGACATATTTTTAAGCTATTTGCTCGTAGATTTCCGGTCGGGTTTCTGAGGTTTCTCTAAGTTTTCCTAGGCTGGCTCTAGGAGACTTCGCTCTCCTGAAGGGGGACTTGCGAGGCTGGAATCTGGCAACTTTTATTTAGGAGCTATTTTTCTTTTCTTCTTTTTCTTTCTCTCTGGCTCTCTCCTCCCCCTTATAGGCTCTGACGGGGGAAGTGGAGCCACTGAATTTAGATAGCCAGGCAGAGAAAAACATTCTTCCCTCATTTTGAGTTCGGGAAAGAAGCGGATTTTCAAGCTTTACTCCAACTCGGGCTTTGAATATTTTTTTTCCCCTTTCTTTCTTTATTTTACTTTCAGTAAATTTTCTGAGCTCGGTAACAGATCCAGGTGAAGAAGGGAAAAAAGGACGGGTGTATGAACAGATAAAGTATGAGGAGAGGGCGCGGTTTGTTATTTTTGTTTTGTGTGTTTGTGTGTGTTTGCTTCTTTGCGGGTCAGTGGGTCCAAGCAGAGACGGCAGCCGCCAGAGTGTGGGCATTTTTTAACGAAGTCTGCCCACACTTGGTGCACCTGGCTACCAGTGCCCGGTAGAGCGCATCCCTCCCGGGCTTCGTCCTCCGCCTCCCCGGACTCCACCGTTCGCTTCCGGAGTCCGCGTCGAGCGAGGTTGCCGCATCGCCGGGCGCCCCTGCAGCTCGCGGGCGGGCGGCCGAGGCGAGGAGGCCCGGGCCGGGACGCAGGCGGGAACCCGCTCCAGCGTCCCGGGGCCGGGGAGAACACCCCCCGCCCCCAGTTGGGCTCAAGCGGAAAGGGAAACAAGGCTCGAAGGGAACGTCGAGGGAGGGAAGAATGGCTCTGAAGCTTCGAGAAGAGCTTTCGAGATCCGAAAAAGAAAAAAAAAAAAAAAAAAAAAAAAAAAAAAAAGGAAGCGAAAGGGAGTTAGCGAAGCGGGGCGGCAGAAGCCAGAGGGACCGGGAAAAGTTGGAGAGCGGAAAGCTGAGGCGATGAGACCTGAGCCACCAAACCCCGCAGCACTGGGCTGGACCACCGGACACAGGTTGGCAGCTCAGGTTCGCGACGGCTCTGGGAAAGAAGCCGGAGCCCCGAGCCGGCTGCCCTGCGGGGACTGAGGGCTGCAGCTCGGCGGCGGGGGTTCGTCTTGCCCGATTAAAGGGGAGTCTGGAAGCAGTGGCCAGCTTCTTCCCAAAGCCGCTGGCCGGGTCCACCCGAGTGAACGCGACTCCTCGGGGCGCCAGGCAAGAGCGCCTTGAGCCAGTGCCCAGTGTGCCTCAGCCGTGCCATTCCGAAGATCTCATTCGGAGGTAATGAGAAAAGACACGGAAGGAAAGGAAGTCCAGAAGAAAATAAGAGGAAGGAGAGTTGGGTGGGGGGGAGAGAGACAGAGAGAGACGGAAAGAGACGTACACACACACACACACACACACACACACAGAGAGAGAGAGAGGGGGGGGTCTTCTCGGGTGACTTCGGGGTTCGTCCCCCCCTTTGTGGCTCTGTACTGACTGTAGTGAGGGGCCGCGCCTGCCCCGCCTGGCCGGGTTTGTTTCCCTCCGGCCTGCCTTCCTTTCCTAACAGGCGGGATTATGTTCAAGTCCAGGGCGATAAACTCTCCTAAAGAACACACCACCCCTAGAAAACGTGGCGCTGGAGACGCCGGGGCTGCGGTGAAATAGCTCTGGGTACGCGGAGAGGGGTTAAAGTAATCAGAGGGATGGGGATGCTGGTTCGGGATGGGGATGCTGGTTCTTTGCTTATGAAAAAATAAAGGACTAAACGGGAAAGGAGGGGGAGAGGGGAAGGAGTGGGGAGGAAGACGAGAAAAGGGGAGGGAGAGAGGAGAGGGGGGCAAGGGAGAGAAGGGGGGAGGGAAGGAGAAGGGCGGACTGAGGAGGTGGGGGGGAGAAGACTGAGGGGAGGGAGGAGGCAGTGAATTACCCCGGGCTGCCTAAATTTTCAGCTGCAAAGCCAGGAGACCCTGCACCCAGCGTGGTGGAAGGAGCCTACTTCAGTCTGAGCTAAGGTTGAAGTTTAACCGAAATGGCAGTCAGGCCAGTTGAACGGGTTCCTGAAACATCCCAAAAGATTTTCTGCTGCCCCTGGCTTTGCCTGAAAAGGATAGCTTTAGTGTACTTGAAGACCGAGTGCATATATTTTAAATCTCGGTTTAAAAAAAAAAAAAATGCAGGTTGTAAGCATTAAAGAGGAAAAGGCAGCGCTATGTTTAAAAACAAAAACAAAACAAAAAACTCTCAACACCCCCCCCCCGAAATAGATAGATAGCTCTGCAACCAGAAATCGCTCCCAGTAAACAGGCCCACCCATTTACTTTTCTCTCCCCTCCACAGGAACAGACAGTGTGTCTCTCTAGTTCGCGTTTTAATCCGCACACCAAGTATTCAGGGCAACCACCCCTCCCTTTTGGGAGAGTCTCCCTCCGTATACAAGAGCACCTACATTCTCTGGGAGCCCCCCCCCCTCAACACTGCCCCCCCCACTGCCGAATCCAAAGAGCAGAGGCTGCCTGACGGGAGCGAGCGTCCCAGCTCAGTTAATTGAAGTTCTGCCTCTTTCCTGCTAAACTTTTCCCCCAGTCTGCCTCCGCCAGCCCCCTCGTCTGATTACATCTAGTAATTCTCCACTGAATGAACGTCATTTACAATAGTGGAGGAGCTCTGAGCTCGCTGCTGCTTCACGCTCCATTTGTCCCCCATTCTCCCTTTAAAGTACTCGTGTAATATTAATAGTCATGAATATCAATTATTATGAGGCGGTGTAGGCAAGCGGAGGGAGGAAGGGGCGCCCGAGCAGTCTGAGCCCAGCGTCGGGTGGAAGAGGACTGTTTCTGGGGCCCCAAAGAACCCGCAGAAGAAAAGAGGCCAAAAAAGACGGTGAGAGACAGATGGACCGTGCTGCTTGTCTGTGACAGGCACCTCCAATCTTCTTGGAGGGGGATTTTTTTAATTTTTATTTATTTATTGGCTTTTTTTTTTTTTTGATGGCTTGTCCTGGAAACACCTCAAGCTCAGCTCCTGTGTCCAGCTTGCTTCTCTGCTGGACGTTTTGATTTCTGAAAATTCATTGTTTGTTTTTGAGCAGTAACCAGGCTTTTTTTTCCAGATGTTAGTCCACACCTATTCATCCATGGTGAGTTCGGATTCCCGTTGTTCCAGAAGTGCATGCCTTCTCCTCTCACCGTCTCTCGGTCTCTGCATCTCCCTGTGTGGCTCCCTCTGTCTCTCTGTTTTCCTTTGAGTGCCTTTGGCTTGGTAATTTAGCACCATAATCGGACGAGGCTGCAACTGCTTCTCTCTGCATTGTGTTCCCGGTCTGAGCTCCCCGAGAGTCAGCTGGGAGGGGGTGAGGTCGAACCGAAAAACTTTGTTTTCATTTGTCAATGCAGTTTGGAAATTTAGGTGGCTGTTTCTCCAGAAAGACCCAGGGGGACTTTACCATTTGCCTTTTCCACAAAGGATGGGGAGAAACTTGGTGCCCTGCACTTCCTCCTTTTCCTTCCACTCGGCTTACATTGGGGGGGGGGAGACGTGGGGGTTATCTCTTCACCTCCCAACTTCAGTTCCTGATTTTAACGCCCTGAGTATAACAGTTTGTGATACGGAAAGCAAGCTCAGAAATAACTCCTGCAAACCACAACTCAATTTAACATGGGCTTAGGGTGTGATTGCCGAGGAGATCCGTTTCAATCAAACACTAAGTTATTTAATTCCTCTTGGGGAGGGAGGGGTGGCTGGAAGCTCGGATCAGGCAGATGCCTCCCTGCTCTGGGAATCTCCTGCTTGCGTGAGCCCCGGGGCCAGCCAGCTACCTGCCAGTGAAGGCTGAAGTGGTTGGTTTTTTTTTTTTTTTTTTTTTTTTTCAACCACAGCAGCACCGCAGCTATTAGAAAGGTTCACTTGGTGTACTTTGGAGCTCTTGAAGAGCAAGAAACACTCAGAAGAGCAAACACCACCCTTGAGTCCCACATTCTTAAGTCAAGGCTTCGAGCTATCTGTCCACACAGTTCCTTCTCTCCCTTTTTGCCTGCTTTGCACTCTCAAAAGACAGCTCTTAGGCCTGGTAGTGGATGAGCTTCCTATTTCTGTGGTAGTCAAGTCCCCTGAAGCTTCCCGTGTGGGACTGTTGACATTTTACCATGTGGCCCTGAGGCAGCTTGGGGGTCTAAGGTTTAGCCTCTTGGTTCCCTTATCCCGGGGAAAGTTGTACAGAAGCCGAACTCCTCTCTCTCTCTCTCTCTCTCTCTCTCTCTCTCTCTCTCTCTCTCTCTCTCTCTCTCTCTCTCTCCTCTCATCCCTCCCTCCTCCTCCTTCTGTACTTTCCACTCCCAGGACCGGCACGATGGCGTCCCAAGCCACAGCTCGAGACTCTCTCAACTGGGCTCTGTGTCCCAAGGACCCTACTCGAGCGCTCCGCCGTTGTCCCACACGCCATCCTCGGACTTCCAGCCACCCTACTTCCCGCCCCCCTATCAGCCGCTACCTTACCACCAGAGTCAAGACCCCTACTCTCACGTCAACGACCCCTATTCCCTGAACCCTCTGCATCAGCCCCAGCAGCACCCCTGGGGTCAACGACAGCGCCAAGAAGTGGGTTCAGAAGCCGGCTCTCTACTGCCCCAGCCCAGGGCGGCCTTGCCCCAGCTCTCGGGCCTTGACCCCCGAAGGGACTATCACTCTGTCCGCCGGCCCGACGTGTTACTACATTCGGCACACCACGGCCTGGACGCCGGCATGGGCGACAGCCTCTCCTTGCACGGTCTTGGGCATCCCGGCATGGAAGATGTGCAGGTAATTCCAAACAGACAAAAAATAGACATAAAAGATAATAAAAGAAAAATGCGGGAGGGGGGAGTGGCGACCTGGTCTTCTGGGGGTGGGAGGTTGTCATCCTTAGAACCTAACCGACCGTACTGGACAAAAGTGTGTGTTTGTGTGTGTGGCTACAAGGTGGCAGTTTCTAGAGATCCGTTTGTGAATGCGGGATGGCTGGAAACTAAATCTTGAAGGAGGAAATATGTTCGTGATAGTTTACAGTCGTTGTCATCAAGGCTAATGTTTTCATCTTGACTCAGCTACTGGACTTGTGCATTCTCTGTTGCTTTGTGTGAAGAAATAGGCACTAGGATTACCCCATAGGGATCCTGTTCCGGTGGCTTGGTTGGCTAAGTCCTGGCAGTCTAGAGAACAGAGCTCTAATCCAGAAGGTACTAGGGCCCCTGAAGGCTCCTGGTGTTCTCTCCCGTTTGCAAAGCTGTGCTAAGAATGACAATGCACTCTGTAGGAGAGTCGTTAGCTGTTTGTTTAAGACCCTTTTGCTTTGAATTTCAAAATGCCTTTTCTCAAGCAGAATCCTAGAGCCCTGGCCTGTCAATGGGATCTTCCTTAGGGACGAGTTGCCTCTGGGTTCTGGAGTCCTTGAGGACAGGTAGCATTTTGGAAATTTCATCTGAAGGCCACTTAATTGGCTATAAACCAATGTCCCCCTCCTTCCCCTTCAGCCCTCTCCTCTGATGTCTACTACCCCTCCCCATTGTCACTATCTTTCTGAAGAGGCACCACGTGTTTATTTCTTAAAACAAAAGGTTCAAAACATAATCCCTGCCCACCCAGTACCCCATCTGCAGCCTACACAATGGAGGCTTACTTGGACAGGAACACTTCGTTATACTAAACAAAGGAACATCAAAGAAAAGATTCCTAAATACTGTTAGGGTGATTCTGAACAGTTCTGCTTCACACAAGGCCTCCCCCAATTTAAAGGTTCTCCAGAAAAGATAAATATTGTCACAGAACATTTAATTGACACTGGTATCTCGTTGGCATAGTTGAATTTGTTGTGCATCATTGTAGACTTATCTCTGAAGTGAAGAAAAACAAAGTGGAAAAGAGCAGGTAGTCAAGCTCTTCCTTTTTACTTTGCTGCGAATGTATGTAAGAATGTATGTTGTATATTTAAGAACAGTCAAAATGTGCTGACAGCATCAAATGCCATCTCCGTGTGCAGGCTGTGATGGTTCATTGTTTTAGAGGAACCTTGTTATTAAAAAGGAAGACATCACCTGATCTGCAGCTGGATTCATCCACAGTACCAGGAGTGATGGTTTTGTTGATTTTACTGAGCTGTGCCTGTATTGCTCCTTTCAGAATTCCATACAAGGAAAGAAACATTGAGCTTTTTTTTTTTTTTTTTCTGCATTAGAGTAATATGCATGGGGGGAGTTTTTAAATTAACCTTTCTTAGTATGGTTCAAAGTGCCGGATAATGAAGGTAGATCAACCACACACCTCCATTACCCTAGGGATGCTAACATCATCCACTACACTGTATATCCCCATTACTATAACTAGGGATGTGAACATATCTACTAACACTTCCACCACCTTGCAGGCCAATGGACTCCAGGAATCTCTCTCCAAAACGGGGAATGAATTTCTTTGGTATTAGAATGTTCACTTTAAGTCAAAACTTAAAGGGGTTTTGGGTGTTTGGCCAAATGCAAAGGGAGCTGACAATATAAGGAATCAGAAACAAGGCCAGTGAAGTGCTATTGGGCAAGAGACACAATCAAAGGAACTGAACGACTTAAAGTATTTAAGCAACCCAGCACCAGCCTGAGCTGCTGCAGTTTGTTCAGAGGCTGGAGGGGTAGAAAGTGCTCCCAGCTTCCCTCTCCCTCCTCCAGCTGCTAGCCTGACAAGGTGGGAAGGCCTGTGGGACCTTCCCCAGCTACCCTAAATAAGAAGAGTAGGGGGTATTCAGCCTATGCCAGAACCGAGGTCTGTGTGAGGCTAGTTCCTCTGTGATCCTGGTCCAGGGTGGTCCCAGTGACAGGCCTGCTGAGTCTAAGGAGGCGAGGCTGAGATGGCATAGGGAAGGAATGAGAAGGGATGTGTTTTGGATCCAGGAACGTCACTGCTAGGCTTCCCCAATAAGAGCCCACTGCCAAGTTCAGCATCTAGAGAGCAGGGGCTGAAGTTATGGAAGCTGTCAGGTCTTCAGACACCAGGCAACAGACCTAAGGGGGTAACTATACCCTAATGGGCTCTGGAAGCGACACCAGAGTGGTTGTCAGGACTCAAAGTCAAGGGCCTGGTATTTGTGCATTCGGGACACTGGAAGCTAGGGACCAGACAGAGTCAAAGGGTGCTACATATATAGGTCCAGAATTGGGGGGATTTCATGTGACCTAGAGGCACACTCACGAGGCTGCCGCCCTGTGAGAGAAAAGAAGGAGAGCTAATTAACCAAATGCTTCTAATATTTTTTAAATGAAACTATAAAACCCTGTCAATTTCTATTTCAATTTACTCACAGGGGCTATTAAACTAGCAGATCGCTGTCTGGGTTCCGGGTATGCTACATTTCACCCATTGGGGAGGGGGGGCAGTGTTAAAAACTCAGGGGGAAATGGCTAGAGGAAAAGAGAACCGAGGGGACACGTAGTTGTAGATTTGTTTAGTTGCTGTGTAGGCACCCTGTTCTTCACCGTTTGGTCTCTAACCTCCCATTACCTCTACCACCCATGACTATCAACACACACACACACACACACACACACACACACACACACACACCCCACTACACTCAAACACACCCTTGTGTCTTAAAGCAACCCCTGGTATCACTTTTAACTAAAGAAGTCTAGTAATTACGAGTCTGAGTTGTTTTTCTGCGCTTCCGCATGCAGTCCTAATTAAATCTTTACGATCCTCCCTGTGACGATTAAGCGCCAGCATGCTGCGTGAATATCCTGTACAAAAACCCAGCAGGCGGCCGTAATTAGATAGAAAATCAGACAAGAGCCTTCTCATTAACTACCACAACTACCCCACGTCGCTGATGAGGCGTAGATACATATTTGCGCACCAACCTAAGCGCGAGGTGTGGGGGCTCATGGGTCCAGGACCGTATGGGATGGGTTTCACTCCTACAAACACAGGCAAGTATTTCTGTCCTGGCTGGACCCATAGCCATTGCCAACAGACACTTGAGTGTAGAAAACAGTGTGTATGATAGTGCCCCCTGAAAACTTATGAACAAGTTTCATGAAATAATTTCGAAACACTTCTTCACTATTAAGCTGTGTGTGGTGATGGTCTACAATTTTGAAAACAGTTCAAATGGAGAAACACCTCACTGCCGGCTTTCTAAGAGCAGGAGAGTGTCTAGTAAAAATGAAAAGAAACAAACAAGTATACCCCCTGATGGTTAGAACATCTCATTTCTCAAGCCAAACTTGCTTGTTTTTGATTGTTTTCTTTCCCCTTGTGTTGGACACACACCACATTCATGAATGCACCCTAAATGGGTAGGAAGGGCTAGGGAAACATCTCATAGCCCAAGACCTTCTTTTTACACTTCTTTATAGAGTGGGTGACAAATTGGATCAAGAGAAGCAGTTGCGGGATTCAGAAAGACAGCGGGTATTTTCTTTGGGAGTGGGGAGGGTGGAAGGAAATCTGCTTTTTGACACCCTGCAATGCACAGCTAGAAGGCCAGTTCCCATGTGTCCTGACAGTTAGGAACTCGCTCCAACAACTATTCTCTCAGAAGTGCTGCCAATTCTGAGCTGAGAGGGTTGAAACTGAAGATAGATATTTCTTGTGATTACCAAGGTGCTGACTAGGAGGATCCAGTCCTTTGTCTGAGTGTGCACCACTATCTTCGTGCCTATATCTGTAGTTACTGCCTTCCTAACAGGTGTGCAACTGGCTGGCCAGCATCACCAGCATGGTTGGAGGGGGTTGATGGCCATTGCACAGGCTCCTGTAGGGACTGTCACCTTGTAGCAAGAAACTCATAGATCACAGGAACCTATGTGGATTGCAGTGGGTGTGAGGTCCTGGAGGCTTTTGTATTGCTGTTTGTGTTCCATTCCAAATTGCTCAGACTTTAATTAAAATCCCATAATGTAAACCATTATGTATTTGTAAAAATGGCTCTGGGGCTAAATGCACTGGGGTAGAAGGAAAAACCGAAATTGCTCTTAACTAATATCGGTGAAAAAAAATTTTCAGCTGTTGCCAACTTTTCACAGTTCATATGGGTTAGTGATATAAAAGTTTATATGACTGTGTTATCTGTCTCAGACAATAACAAAGCCAATACCACATCCCAGATGTCGCTCATGCGTTCTGTTTTCTCTTTCTCCTATTTGGAGAATTCACCATTTCAGTGAATTTCATTTCTATGTCGATTTGGAGATAATAAGGATAATAATAAAACCTCCCTTTGTGAATTAATATAAATGGAAATAATAGAAACTCCCATTTAGAATGACATGATTTATGTATGCAATTCTTTAATATCCAGTCAATTTGAATGGTGATGTTTTTATATCCACAGTCAGTTGAAGATGCCAATAACAGCGGCATGAACCTATTGGACCAGTCAGTCATTAAAAAAGGTATGGATTTTTCCTTCCAAAAGTAAGCAAAGATTTCAATGTCTTTATGATGAGCTTTCACTTTGGGGGAAGTCATTATCTTACAACACATACACACACACACACACAAATGTTTGTTGTAATCAGTTTTGTGGCTATCAGACTGGGTAAAGGGGCATGCTGGGAAAGGGGAAATGGGTCCGAACAGAATAGAAACTCTGCCAGAAACCAGGGTTGGAGAAACAGAGCTATACTGACAATTGCCATTTTTCTCATAATACATAAGGTAGCCGTTGCGAATGCATCTTCTATGACTGAGACATCATGATGTGTAGAAATAGCTGGGAAGCATTGATTTCAAAAAGGGCTATTATTACTTCCTTCATATCTGGATTTGACTGTGTTGAAGTCTCTTGTTATGGAGGTAGCTTTTCTTTCCTCTTGATTTTGGTTTGATTTTTTTTTTTTTTTTTTTTTTTTTTTTTTTTTTGGTAATTGTGGTACCAGTTCTCTGTGCCTTATGAGTTGTTTCTTTTTATTATTTTTTTAATTGTGCTAAATGCTTTACTAAATATGCTCACCCTGAGAGGCTGAGACAGACCAAGCATGCATCTAAATCTTCCTGCATATGTGCACATGATTTACTGTGACTGTGGAATCACCCCATACTGTTAAAGGGCATGTGATATTAACAAATGTTTGCAGTCTCTTGTACAGCTGTAAGCAAAATAATTAACTAATTAAACTAATTAAATGTAATTACAATAACTCATTTCAGGCGTATTGCAGCTGCTTAATTTTTTTTTCTCCTCTTCTGTGACAGTCACTAAGAGAATGTCTGGCGATTAGAGTAGCTGCTTCAAGGTCTGAATGTCACTCACATGCCACGAATTTAAGAGTGTGAATGTGTACGCAGGGCAGTCTTTAATTATCACATGGATTGGTATTGGAAAACAGAGTTTTAAGGACTGTCACCCTTTCTTATTGAGGCTAGAGGAAGACAGTCCTTATGCTTGGAGTCAACAGTCCCCAACTTCAGTCACTTGTGATTGACTTGAGCCACTCCACTTTGGCAACAATAATTAAGGAAAGACGATAATTTAGAAAGCAATCCATCCAGCCTCAAATTGGGGTAGTGAGCACTAGGCAGCTTGTGGAATAAGGATCCCAAAGGGGTTGGGAGTATGCTGAATTTTCTCCTTTTAGAAAGTCCTAGTTATGTAGCTTTGTGGGGTAGACAGGGGAAACAGTAGCAGAATGGAATGGTCCCTTTCGTTTTCAGAATGATCTTTGAAACAAGTTTAAAACCATTGCCCAGTATTTTTCCCTCCCTTCTTAGCTAATACCATCTTCAGCGGTGTACCCGGAGTGCATGCTCAGGCTGGCAGCCCCGCTGACTGTTCACTATCGCTGGTTCCTCCCTAGGCCTCTCTTTTGGTTAATTGCTGCTTGATTGGGGTGGGGTGAGGGAGGAGCTTTCCTGTTCCCTTTTGTCATTGTTGTTTTAATTCCCCCCTCCCTCTTTGTGGAAAGCTTGAAGAGCTAAGCTCAGGGTTCGGTATCCTAGCAACATCAATTGGCTGGCAGAGAGACATGCCCAGCAGATGACCAATCAGAAATGTTATTAATAGTCAGGCCAATAAAAATATTTGGAACTTAGCTTGCCTAGCAAGATGGGGTCCACGGTTTTCTTAGATGTGGGAAGCATTGGTTGCAGCTTTTAAATATGTTTGCCAGAGAAACATGAATATTTATGCACGGAGGTTGCTTCCTGAGATACAGGAGGGTGCTGACTAAAAAGTTGCTTGTTTTGTTTTTCTGAGACTGCCACATGTTTTCCCCCAAAGCTTTTTGAAATTATACTCGGCTTGAAACGCTAAAGCAACACCCAACTCATGTTAATTGATTTGGGGTGAGTAGTTTAAATATGAATGTTAGGTCAGTTCTATTATTTGATACTTGAAATGTTTGCTTTATTACACGAAGAAGAGATCCTAATATCACATTTTCATCTTTTAAAAGCCACAGGCAAGGGATGAACAAATGTTTGATTTATTTTTCTAACTCACCAGGAACCACTTAAAATAAAGTTATGGGTTCATTAGCTCCTTGCTCGCCTCTCCTCTCCCATCTTTGCATAGTCTCATCCCCATGAGGGATGCTTCTGTGAGATTAATTCTGGAGGTGAGGAGAAAGTTTCCAGAACCGAATATTCAAAATTTCAGCAACTAGCAGGGGACTTGGTTGCTTAATTTGTATTTAGACAGTTATTTTAAAAATTATACTTCATTAATAAAAGGCCAGCAACTGGTCTACCTTTACACGGCTCAGTTCCTAGGTTTATGAAGCCTAAAAACCTGGGCATAAAAGATGTATTTTTTTGTCTTTGTGTCTTTCTGTCCAGTTGTGTCATGCCACTCCTAAAATTTAACCCATATAATTCTTCTTCCCTGTTGACATCACCTCATACATTATAGACTCTCTCTTGTTATGTTTGCTATGTGGGCTTAGCTGACATTTCTGAAGTAATTTAGTTAAGAGGAAATGAGTTGTTCCCAGTAGAGAGAGCAAACGAGTGGAGTGAAGGTAGCCAGCGTGATAAACGGCTCTTTCATTTGAAGATCTCCAGAGCTCGTTTACGGCTAATTTTCTGTATTGGCCCCCTTTGAGCTATTAATGCAATCGGCAGGGACCGTGGCCCCTCTCTTCTGAGCTGCCCCATTAGAGCTCCCATTAAGCTGCCTAGTCTCAACTCTATGGCAGGAGTTGGGGAGGGGGGGGAGGAATAATGAAAGGTGCTTTTTAAACTCTCCTAATCTAAACCGGCAGAGGGTGGTTAATACGATTTGAAGGGGGCTGGTCAATGAGCAATCAATAAAGTAATAATGAGAAGGATTCGCTACATTAACAGTCTAAAAATCCAACGAGACATTAAAAAATCATTCTTAACTCTCAGTTCCATTAAGATTAGGAGTCTGGGTGCTGTGGGGGGTGTGGGGACTGCCCAGCCATCTTCCTGTAGCCTAATGTAAAAGGCTTACCTGGGCTCTAAGAAATGGGGGGTTGGTATTAGCAACCAATGTGCAATCTGTTAGACATATTGGACAGCAGAAAATATGTCAGAATTTCTTGGAAAGGTTATTGAGGCTGGAGTCCAAGGTTCAAATGCTGTGACTGGGGGGCATTTTTATTGGTCTTAGGGATATCCTGTTTGGTTAGTTTCAGTTCAACCTCCAAGCTCTCTCGTGTTTTCTCCGTTAGTTCTGGCCCCTTCCCCACACAAACACTTTGGTGTGGGTTTTCTTGGAGAGGAGGGTTATAAAATTGCCAAATCTCAATTCCAGCAGGTTCCTTTGAGATTCTTCCTTATAGCCTAGAAGGAATGTCTCACCAAGAATCTCAGTCTGTCAGAGCCCTGTAAAAGTTGTGTTTCCTCTCAAGAACTTTGCCTTTCCAGAGAGAGATGGGGGCGGGGGAGATGAAGGAGGGAGGAAGAGACACACATATATATAGAGAGAGGCAGAGTGGGAGGGAGATGGTCAAAAGCCATAGAATTTCAAAACTGGAAAGGTCAGACATTCCTTTCCATTGCCCCAATTGTGGGAATCTGCAAGTGCATAGACTGGAGAAGATAAATGACTTTCTCAAGGTCAGATGACACACTAAAAACATGATGAGACGATTAAAGTTTCAAGATCTCAGATTCTGTCATTAAAAAAACACCAACACTGGACATTAAGGGATGTATGTATGTATGTATGTATGTATGTATGTATTTATGTGTATGTATATTCCTGTGTGTATGTTTATGTTTCTTCTCATCACAATTCCAGTGCCCACATAAATATTCCCGTTGAACATGTGGAATAAAATTTAGACAAGAAGTTGACTTAACAGGATGCTAATTTGAGAAATAGCCTCCCTGACCATGAGAAGTGGTTTTTCTTTTAGGGTGTCAAATCTCTTGATTGCTTCCCAATGTAGCTCCCATAGTTGTCATTTTCTTCCAGGGGAAGGGGCCTCAACTTCTTAATGTGTCAGGCAGGTATACTTCTTCCCTTTTTTCTAACGCAGGTCTTGTCAAATACAGTTTCTCCCATTTTTAATTTCACCCTGAAGCTGTTTTTTAAAAGAGAAACAGAAGTACTATCCCATTAATCTCTATATTATAGTCTACTACTGAACAACATTTTCTCTAGTTTTCCTTACTTTTCTTAAAACCACTCACTGCAAGAAACATTAATTTATGATTTTTTTCTTTTCTATTATAATTCATAGGAAGAAGAGGAGGAAAGGAATGGTGGTGGTACTCTCTCTCTCTCTCTCTCTCTCTCTCTGTGTGTGTGTGTGTGTGTGTGTGTGTGTGTCACATCTAGAAGTTGGTTTTACCATCCAACCGAGGACTGAAGAGGGGGAAAACCCACTTTTTAATGTATGCACAGAAAATTGTAAACATGTGAAGAACGTAAAGTTTCATGCCGAGTCTTGCTATGCTCCATTTCCTTAGCATTTCCTGCTGTCGCTTTAAACCTATCTCAGACATCTCTGGGATCCATGTGCAGAAGCAGTGTGCTCATAATTACTAACAAATCAACTAGGCCCTGTTGTTTTCTGGGCGTATTGATAAGCTGGAGGAAAGCAGAAGGGGAAAGATGAAGGGAATAAAATACGGGGTTAATCAGCTGAGCTAAGCATGTGTGAGGACAAACAAGAAGGTGAGATGATCAAGAAGCTATCAGGAAGGGAAGCCAGGTGTAGGGGAACCCATGCTAGGCCAAGGGTAAGGGACATGAGTTGGTCTTAGAACCTGAGGATAGAATGTAAGAACATGATGTTGATAGAAAATGGAAATATACTTGAAAACACTTCTGTTCACCCTGTGAGATTTTTTTTTTAAAGTGGCGAGAGACAACCTTCCAAAGATGGAAGTGTGCTACATAAGCAGACACATGTGTTTGCATGTGGATAGAGAAAGGTAGAGCACAGCATAGAGGAGGGAGTTGCTTACTCTGTCTAAAGGAAACAGCTCCTACCAGCTGAATCAAGCAGTCAACAACAGGACAGTTAAAGAACAGGGTATAATGTCTTTCCGAAGGCCTAAGTTTTCAAGAAATGTGACATCTGGTAAATAGGAAAACTACTGTCTAAGAGATACTGGTTATTGTCCATAACAGTAACTGTCAGCTTACTGGGCTTGTCTTGTTATTAAAATAGTCTAAGCAATGTTAAAGACGAGAATGCTGCCGAGTTTCAAAGGTCATACCTTTAGGGTTATTTGTTGCTACAGTTCTCTTGTTAAAACTACAAAGGGCTGTCTACTTTTAGGGGAACTCCTTCCCAAACTGCTGGCCTTGCCACTTCCCGTCAGTATAAAATTGTATGCAATGATCGAATATGAATCTGAAGTTCATCTGTCAGGAACGCTAATTAAATAGGACACTAAAATATATGTGGATATTGTGCACAACAGTTAAGTGGCGGGATGGCTTCATCCCAACCATCCATTTACAAAGAGACTTATGGACTCCAAGTGTTATTCATGTCTGATGAAAACACTGTGACATTTTGCTACTTTACTCTCAAATGGGAAGAAGTCCTTAGAGAAAATATGGGGTAGGGGTGCCCAGAAAATCAAAACCCCCTTTGTACCTTGTCCCTAGCCTATGACAGTGCAGAAGATGCTCTGCTTCCTAACACAATTCCTCCAAGTAGCAGATCTTGGGCATCAACAATAGGTTCTGAAATGCCAATATTGTTGATTAAGAAGTGGCCAAAGGGTTGCTAAAGTGTCTAAATCCACTGCCTTACAGAACTCTTTTCACAAGGTTTTAGAAAACCTCAAGTAAAATTAATAAATGCCCAGCTTTTGGAATTCTCTCAGCAACCATGGAGTCTGAATGTTGAAATCTGTGGTATAAAGAGTAAACTGAAAGAGGAAATTCTGCATCCTCTTATCTGTCCTGTAGAAGAGAAGTTAGAGACCTTATTTTTTTTTTCCATAAAATTCTAGACTTCATGTGGCAGACAGCATCTTTCCTTGCCAGATTTATAGGGTGAGACATGGATGTTATTAGGCAGGTGGGATAGCTTTCTTTCTTTCTTTTTTCCTATTATGTAGGAATATATGAATTCTCAATGGAAGAAATTAACAGGGAAGAAGTAGGACAAATCAGGAGAAGTCCAAAGGGCACAACTTCCAGGCCAGCATTCACAGTTTGTCATTCTCCAGCCTTCCACCTAGCTCAGCCCCCTCTTGTCATGCAGATGACGCTGAAACACAATTAAACAGAAACACAGGCTGGAGAGGCTGGATGCACCAGGGTAGCAGTGGCAGCCAGCTGTCAGCTCTTATTAACTTCTGCATAAAACATACCTGGAGTGTGGGTTGTTATCAATTACTTGCTGAAATGAAACAACTGGGACACGGCAAGACCCCACCGCTCATGTGAATTACAGTGATTGGCTGATTGATCAGGGCACCTGTTGCAAATCATAACTGTTCAAACAACCACGAGCTGCCCGTGCTTTAATTTGTAAACAAAATTCATGTCACTGCTGAATTGCTCTCACTGGAAATGAGCATTTGGGTATATTTCTAAATGAATCTCGCTGCTGTTTTTATGTCCTGGGGGGGGGTAGGTTCCCTTATAAGGCATAAGGCAGCTCCCCCTCCCACCCGCGCCCCATCCCCCACCTGTAGGGCTGATGAGGAAACTGAGATTAGGGATCCAAGGTCACACACTAAGAAGCAGGTGACCAAATAGGCTTTGACTAGATTCACAGTGTGATCTAAGATCCGAGGTCTAGGTTGAGTGTTTCCCTGATTTGTGTGGTGAGCAGGGCTGTGGCAAGCGACACTCACCTGGGGTAAGTTTCCAGAGGAATGGTGACGTGTGGGTCTGTTCACATCGCTGGGAAGGCAAAGCAGCCGGGAAACACTGGAGTAGCTGCGTCCCCCTACACTTTCCACTTGGTGGTTGCCCAGTGGCTTTCCCAGATGCCGCGTCCTGTCAACCATTAGTAGGGTTGAAGCTCGGTCACCTTTATGGCAACATTTTCCTCCTCTCTCCATCTCTCCCTAGTTCCTGTCCCTCCCAAATCTGTGACTTCTCTCATGATGAATAAAGATGGCTTCTTGGGAGGAATGTCAGTCAACACCGGCGAGGTATTTTGCTCAGTCCCAGGCCGTTTATCTCTACTCAGTTCAACTTCAAAATACAAAGTGACTGTGGGAGAAGTTCAGAGACGGCTCTCGCCCCCTGAATGCCTCAATGCGTCTCTCCTTGGCGGCGTCCTCAGAAGGTAAAACAAACAAACAAACAAACAACAACAAAAACTACACCACACACACACACACACACACACACACACACACACACACACACTTCAATTAGTGGAGGAGGGTGCTGTTCGGGGAGAAAGTCCATGCAGTTGCCTAGCAACTACAGTCTAGTCGCAGCTCTGTGGGATGCTGAGGGAAGGCTGAAGAAACTGCTAGCAGGGTGTCTAGCATCAAGAGCTGAGTTCTCTCACCCAACACTCACCCATCCCAGACCTTATTGCGCATGTGTAGCCCTTCTATGTAATTCAGCATTAGACACCTTTCACTTTCTTGCCTGCCCAGGGCTCCCATTTGTGACAGCTCACATCTGGGGCATTAGACTCAGTTCTCCCCACCACAAGCTCATTTGAAACAGAAAAGGCAGTTTCCATCATGCCTTCCATATACTCTCTGTCTTCTAGTTTAAAAATACAAATGGAGAGTAGCTAAGTTGGTCTCAAGACCAATGCACTAGTATAATGTGCTTTCAATTTTGAAAAACCCTTTTCTACATTAGTGACTTTCCTTCAATAGAATCACATCTCACAACATTAATAGACTTCCTAACTATTACTAGTCATTTTCTGGAGCTATGCTGTTGCTCTCCAACACTAAAACTCATGGACAGACTCCAAGTAAAGGTGAAATGGCTATTGTATTTTCTCTGCAAAAGTTCTTGCTAACATCTGGACCTTGGCATTATCCTTGTTAAGTGAGTCTGTATGAGACAAAACTTTCTGAAGTTAACACATTTTAGATGTTCACTATCCCTTTCTTTCCTACAAGTGGCTGGCTGAAAAGTACAACAGTAGGCTTCATGCATGATAACTACTTTCCTTTTATTTTTATCCCGCCCTTGGAGGATGTGGGAGACCTAGAGGGAGACTAAAGGTGTTTAACTCACAACTGTTCTTAATGTGAATCCTCTTCCACTGTCCTTAATATTTAGTTTTCAAGTGAGGTATTTGAGCTTCAGAGTCAGAATGTTGTTGTTATTATTATTATTTTATTATTATTGATTTTGAGACAAGGTTTCTCTGTGTAGCCCCAGCAATCTTGGAACTCACTTTGTAGATCAGGCTGTTCTGGAACTCAGAGATCTGCCTGTCTCTGCTTCCCAAGTGCTGGGATTAAAAATGTGCACAAACACACTATAGCTTCCTGAACATGAGTGTATAAAATTTATGAATTGAGATAGTGAATACAAGGAGTGTATCATATCAACAAGCTCAAAAGTATTAGTATTGTTATCATGACAAACATCATTGATTACAAATATCAACCTTCTCTCCCCTTGTAAACTTCTCCATTATGTAGTTATTATTATTTTTGCTTCCTTCTTTAGAAGCCTACCTGTTTCCCGAAACTAGCCCTTTGGCCCTTTGCGCCTCTCTCTCTCTCTCTCTCTCTCTCAAAGCTTGCCTGGATTCTGCTCTCCTCACGGGCTCCATGGCAAGGACTGAACCTGTGCATGTTACATCAGCAATATTTACCTTTTCTGGACCCGTTGCCCTACATTCTAATTATCCCATCTGGTATCCTTCCCCCACCACACACACACAGGATTGTAAAAACGGGACTCACTTTTTATGCTCTGTATTGCAGAAATTAAGCAAAGCTCAGCAAACTCCGAGCAAATAACTGAAAGGATGGTGTGCAGGAGTGCTAACCTCAAGTTAAAACCTCTTCAAGCTCCAGTGGGCTCTAGATTGCTAAGTCTAAACTTTGTTTCGGGAACACTCTGGGGTTAATCAGAATGTTAATTCTTGCAATTGCAGAGCCAAATCGAAAAATGGGGGGAGATCCTTGAGAGAAAGGCTAGAAAAAATCGGTTTGAATTTACCCGCGGGCAGGCGCAAAGCAGCAAATGTCACGTTACTCACCTCCCTGGTGGAAGGTAAGCAAGACAGTGGCCATTTCTCCAAGTAGCTGAGCTTAACTGTGGGCTGGAGGCTGACATTTTACATGCGTTATGATTAACTGGAAATCACTGTGATTGTTGTGCCTTCATGAGTTGGGTGTCAAGGGACTGCATAAGAGAAGACCAGAGGTCTTTTTACCTACAGGGAGCTAGCAGTTGCAGGCAGGGAAGCAAAATAAGCAAAAACAACAAAACAAATAAAAACCAATGTATAGAAGGGTTCCTATGCTCCAAACAGGGATCAGGCCCAATCTCCAAGTCAGAGGAGAGGTCACTTCCCTGGTCACAGTGGCTGAAGCATCCTCTGCTTGAATTCCTATGACATCTCTGCCAACTTCAGCAGGTGTGGCTGGTGAGGGTAAAGGCACTTGCTTCCAAGTCTGTCCACCTGACATCCACCCCCAAGTTCCACAAGAGAGTGGGAGAGGTTCTTCCTGGTTTCCTTCCCACCTCTACACACTTGTCCCTCAATAAAAAAAATAATAAAATTAAAAAGGCATAAGAAAGCATTTAGTGTTCATGAATCTTAATGGTTATTTTAAAACTCATGACTCTTCCAGAGTTCTGTCTCCTACCTTGTGTGACTTAATGAATTATTGATATCTTAGGAAGTTCAGCAATGCTTAAAATAAAACAGTGAGTGGGGTACTATGAAAAAGTATAAAGAGAGAGACAAATTGAATCTTCAAGGCAAATTCATTGATAGTGAATTAAATGGTCATAATTTTATTAAGATACTTCTACTTTGTTTGTCAGTTTGGGTTTCCAGACAAAATTTGTAGCCTGTAATAATTAAGATCTATGTGGTCTAGAAGAAGACTACAGTTGAATGTCTAGGGAGGGGACAACAGGAAGGTGGTGGAGAATTTTCTCTGGAATCTTCCTATATCCTGTTTTTGTTTGCTTGTTTCTCTTCCACGTTTTAGTAGATATGATATTATGGCTCTAGTAGGAAATTGATTTTTGCAGGACAACATCTTATGCTATCTAAATGATGGCTATAAAGATATCAAAGAGTCGCTGGTCCTGCATTTTGCCAAAGTTGTTGTTTTGTTTTGGCTCAAACTCACCTGAGGCCATAAATTGCCCCATTTCAAATCCCACTTGCAAGTGGTTGACTCTTCCTTGTCTGTGGATACTCCCTTTTTCTTTTTAGGGAATCATTAATATTACAGTCCTTAAAACAGTCAAGGTAATCTTAGCATGAGACAGAGATTTTGGTAGAGAAGGGAAGAAGCTGGAAATCACACCAAAGTGGCAATATTTTTTTGGGGGGGGGCAGTTTTTGGTATTATGAACCCTTGTATGCACTATTCTTGAAGCCTTTCATTATTATGTTATCTCTGAAAGCAAGTCTCATTCCCTATAATTGTGTATCTATGAGTTAATTCAACATCCCTCTTTTTCTCCCCGTGTTTGTGATCTTTTCTCAAACCCTAAGGCTGTGCTTTATAGGTAGTAATGCTTTATTCAGGAGGGTCTTCCTCTTAAGCTCTGGAATGCCTAGTGTCCTGGTATCTACAGTAACACATTTGTGTAGTGAAACACCTTTAAGTAGGAGGGAGATGACAGAAAGCTCCGAGAGAGAAACACCTGAAAAGAGGAAGATGATTGTAGGGTGAATAGTTATGTTGCTGTGGAACAGAGATACTCTTTTCACACGATACACGTGTTACATGTAGTTATTAATATTCAGCATTATTAATATTCAGCGACATAAGTGGATTTGTTTGTGTACATTAGTTATAAATACGAGACTGCCTAATAGAATTGTAGGAAGATGGTACCACTTCTATGTTTTATTTCAAGCAGTAATAACTGGTACTTTAAATAAAAGAGTCTGGCTAGTCTACCCCACCAGATACCTAGATTCATTTGTAAGGTGCTTCTTGAATCTAGGGTCACTTTCTGTCTAAGTACAGGAGTCAATCCTGGGAGAGAGCTGTGTCTGTCCAGACACTGGCTTAGGCAGAAAGCTAAAAGAGTCAGGTTTGTCCTGTTGTCTGTAATTACCAAGTTCACCTTTACTTTCCCTGCTGTCTCAGGTTTGGGTCTGTTCCCTATCTGGCCTCAGGTGTTCACTACCCGGGTGTTGATTGTCTGCTGCTCTCCTTGCAGGGGAAGCTGTCCACTTAGCTCGGGATTTTGGGTATATTTGCGAAACAGAGTTTCCTGCTAAAGCCGTGTCCGAGTATTTGAACAGACAGCACACAGACCCCAGTGACCTGCACTCCAGAAAGAATATGCTGTTGGCCACCAAGTGAGTTCTCAAAACCCTGGGCCCTGATTCCGGACTCTCCATGCAAACAGTGGAGCAGAGCAGTGCTATAGGCTCTCTGGTGTGGGTTCACAGTGCCTTCTGGAATACAGGTCAGGAAGCTCCCCAGCTTCCGTGTGTGTGTGTGTGTGTGTGTGTGTGTGTGTGTGTGTGTGTGTGTGTGTGTGTGTGTGTGTGTGTTGATGACATAGACTTGAGAGCTAGGGCCGTGTCCCAGTCCCCTTCTCGGTTTACAAAGAGGAGAGAACACAGGCTTTTTTATCAGTTTTCCTTCACAGATCTGGGGTGTCAGGCAGACTTGTCCCACATCTCTCCCTAGACCTCTAGGTGAAATATTTCTGTCTGGGCTTTGTAGTGGTCTTCTCTACCACAAGGAGGACTGCCATGTGTGTTCGCTCAGGGTGTCTATATGTCACCCACGTGTGCCCATCTCTACCCACAGCTCTAATTACTCCATTGCTGTTTGTCATCTTCCACGGACTTGTAAAATTTACTACAACTCCAGAGGGGAAAACAGTAAATCTCTGGCTAAATTTAGGTCTAGAGCTCATTTGAACATTTACAGTGGGTTTTCTATTTATTTGATTTACTCCCGTCTTTGGCTTTGGTGTCATATTGTTGGTGTTTTATGACCAGCTCAGGCCTGCAGTGGGCGGCGCTGCTTGCACCAGCACGTTTCTGTCTCAGGCGCGGCCTAAACAGCAGCGCTCATTTATTTAGCGTTCCAGGACGCGGTTTGTTCCGTTGACAGCGTAATTTAAAGAAATATATGGAAGGCTGAAAAATCATTTGCTCAAATTTGTCCAGATGTTTTTGAGACGTGATTGGAATTTGATTGCCCCTTTCCGCAGGGTCAAAAAATATTAATGTCCCAGAAGTTTAATTGCTTACAGAGCCTGGTTTGGGCTGTGTAGATTTTAAATGCTTGACTCTTAAAACATTTGTTCTCTGCACTACAAAATCTCCTTTTTTGGAACTTTGGAAATGAGTACAAACTCCAGGAGAGACTTCAATCATCTTTCCCAATGACCAAAACCTGGAACCTGCCCTCCTTGTAGAAGGCATTCTGCTAATGTACACATGTATATTTAGCAATGCCGTAGATTTTTGTTGGTGAGTTACACTCTTACCCTTTTGCTCTGGGACCGTATAGTAAGAAGCAGGTATGTTTTATAAATGAAGTAGAGAACTTCTGGGCAAAACAAAACAAAAACAAACAAGCAAAACCCTATAACATGTCTAAAAGCAGGTGACAATATCCACAATATTGTCAAATCCTAAAGAGGTGATTTGACACCCCTCCCCCAACTACCACTTCCACTGCCGACTTTTAAGGTCACTAGTTTATAGCTTAGGGTATCAGAACCACGTTGGGAGCTTTCCCATATATTTGTGTCTGGACCAGATAGAAGGGAGGTGAGTTAGAACCTGGAGTGTGCATGGGAACCTCACCAAGGCCAGCTCTTCTGGGTGAGCACAGTCATTTGCTGTGGGGATATACAGATATATTATGAACGGAGACCTGATGGGTAGGCAGTCTTGATCAGTGTTCAAGCCAAGGGCCTTTGGAATGTTGCTGCCAGTGGGTGGAAAAGCGATTCCCTGTTAGGTTTATTAGTAGCCCTAGGCAACATAGCACCTTGGGGAAGGATGCCCCAAGGGTCTTTCACATCGAGAAATCTGCCCTGTTTACCTGATAGTTAGGCCAGGTGTTAGTTGTACATGTCCTTTCTCGGCTGTCTAGGTCCAGTATGATATGTAGGTTTGCTTCTTTTGACATCCCACAGAACCACAGGCTGGGTGAGGGCAGGTGGTCAAGAGAAGCCTGGCAATCGTGGCCGGCCTCTGGGATGCCATGCCTCAGTTTGCCAGCAGAACCAAGCCATTTGACCTTCAGGGCTAAACCCCTCTCATCCATTTCCTATATTAAAAACTTCTCAAATAAATGCAATCCCTAGTTAGGCACGCAGGGTTCCTAAGGCTGGAAGATTTCTCTAAATTGTAGGTGCCTTGCAGAAATAGAAGACTTCAACAAATAAAAATCTATCCTCCCTAGTGTTTTAACCATCTACCTTTAAGTTTTATTTAAACTAAGCAGAAATCTTTTTATATTGACAACAATCCTGTGATACAGAGATGTTTAGTAGCTTACATTTGCAAAAGGGGGACTTTTTTTTTCTTTCTTTTTCTTTCTTTCTTTCTTTCTTTCTTTCTTTCTTTCTTTTTTTTTAAAGAAGGGAAGAGACATCTCTCTTCCAAAATGCTGCAGGTAACCGGGGGTTTCTCTTTGAATGTAATCACTATTCTCTCCTAGAATAAACAGGTTTTTGCCCTGGGCCATGCAAGGCTCCAGCAATCTGCTTCAGTGTCAGGGACAGGCTTGTGGCTGAAGGGTTTAAATCTTTCAGGGTGTGTGTGTGTCTGTGTGTGTGTGTGTGTGAGAGAGAGAGAGAGAGAGAGAGAGAGAGAGAGAGAGGGAGAGGGAGAGAGAGAGGGAGAGAAAGGGGGAGGGAGAGAAAGGGGGGAGGGAGAGAGGGGGGGACGGAGGGGGGGAGAGAGAGAGGGAGAGGGGGAGAGAGAGAGAGAGAGAGAGATGTAGAGGTTGGAAAGGCGAAAAGAGGAAATAATTAAAGCGGTGCCAGGTAACAGCTAAAAATTATTGACTATTCCAAACCAAAAGCCAACATACCTAGCGAATTTCCTAAAGCAGAATACAGGTGGTCCGGGAAGGGAGAAGGAAAATGAAAAGCTTGAGGGTGGAAGGGATGCCTTCCTCTCACTGGATCTCTTCCAGACCCAGCTGCTGGGTGAGGGAGCGCTCTAGGAAAAGAAACAGCAGAAACGCCTAAGACTCACTGTCCACAGACCCAACGCCTGTGGGCTGGTGTGAGTTTGCTTGGGTTCCACAGCCAGTGACCAGGACTCTGAGGGCGCTTTTCTCTTTCTCCCTCACCATCCGCAGGCAACTTTGTAAAGAATTTACGGATCTGCTGGCACAGGACCGGACGCCGATCGGGAACAGCCGGCCCAGCCCCATCCTGGAGCCTGGCATCCAAAGCTGCCTCACGCACTTCAGTCTCATCACGCACGGCTTCGGAGCCCCGGCCATTTGTGCTGCGCTCACCGCCCTGCAGAACTATCTCACCGAGGCGCTCAAAGGCATGGACAAGATGTTCTTGAACAACACCACTAACAGGCACACGTCTGGGGAAGGCCCAGGTAGTAAAACTGGCGACAAGGAGGAGAAACACAGGAAATGAAAAACAAAACAAAACAAAACAAAACAAAAAAAAAGTTAAAGAGAAGGAAAATGTTTTAAATACAAAAGGAAAACAGAAAAAAAAATAATTTTAGCTTTAACATATTGGATTGGCTTTGGAAGAATTATATTAGGTAGAATACACATACAATCAAAATTTTAAAATGAAAGCTAAATAACTTAAAAAAAATAAACTGAGGCATACAACGGAGCAACAAACAGGCTCTTGGTGTCTATTTCAAGATACACATGGAGACAACCGTCCGGATTTTCCACTTCGGTTCTTTCAAGCTTAGTAGTACAGATAATAAAAGAAAACTATGAACCCCCCTTTTGGAAAATAAACATAAGACTAAACATGAGAACACGCTAACTTATTGGAAGAAAATTGGAGAAACGTTATCAATGCTCTGAGAGCTGGTTGACTGAGACGAACAACCTTTACAATTTTAATTTTTTTTTTCTTAAAGGAAACTCTTGCAGTCCGCGCGCCCCTTTCCTCCTCACCCTACTCACTGCTGTTTCCCTTCCTCCCCTCGTCACACGGTTACTGCCCGGTGACCACCAGTGTGATTAGCTCTTTGCCCTTGCGTTAGTCCCCAGGGTATCCAGAACTCGCCTAGTTCCTAACTCCCTCCCTGGTGCCCAACTCCCCCCGGTGTGTTTAATTAGGGAGGCGTGGAGGAGGAAAGGGGAGGGGGGAGGAGGAAAAGAGGCTCCAGCTTTTGATCCGGTCTTGAGAGTCGAGTCTCCCGCAGCAGAGGAAACCCAGTCTGATAAGTTGATTCATCATGGTTCCTTTCAGAAAACGTTTCTAGTTCCCAGACTTGCCAGCACCTGTTCACAGAGAATATTACATTCTTATACTTGTGTCACCTAGAAGTATAGTTAAGAAAGAAAGAAAGAGAGAGAGAGAGAGAGAGGAAGGAAGGAAAAAAAAACACGAATACTTTGATTAGCATGTAATGCCTTCGGAGGGGTATGTACCATTTCATTTTCTTCTGTTTCCCAAAGCTTTACCCGCATGGTTTATGAGCTTCTTCAAAGAAGACTCGGGCTTCCTACACAATCTCTAAGGTACTGAGAAAAACAACAACAACAACAAAAGACAAATCCGATCCTTTAAAGTCAAAGTCTGTGTGTCAGAATTCGGCAGGGTCCCTTCTTTAAAGAAGCTCAGAGGGAATCATTTAGGAAGTGGCCAGTGTCTGTGGGGTGGGGGTGGGGGGCAGCTCTGAATTTCTTGCTGACACACCTCATCACAGAAATTCCCGCAGGGGTGGGGCACTGCACAATGTCTTTTAAGAGAGGGAGTAAGGCTTCCCCGGAATCTATATTTTAACAGCATTGTCCTCACTGAAAAAACGAACAACTCCATTTTCTTGGGCTCTTTGGGGATCGTTGCTCGAACACAGAAAGAAGCAGCTTTGCCAAATGTTAACTGGGGAAGACAGACTACAAGCTATTGTGAGCTTCCATGAATGAAGCCGGTTTCCCTCCTAAGAGGGAAATATACTTATTCTGGCACAGAATGGTTAACACCCACCGCCACCAAGACCACTACCACCTCCTCCTCCAACACCACCACCAAGCAAAGTCAGAGGGCTTGTATTTCAGCTTTGAATTCCGGTCTGTGTGTATTGGGGAATATTCCCAGTGGATGAGGTTCCATGCATTTAATGTATCCCATTGCTCTCCCACCAACTTTTTACTCATACTCTTATCTTAGCACTAAGGTGAAATAAGCCCTGTTCCTTTAGCCAGAGCAGTGAGATCCCTCACTATGTGCTTCCTGAGATCGGTACACTCGTTTAGTGTGGGTACAACTTGTTTCTTTTCAACAACCTGGGTTACCATCTTTGCAAAGTCCATTGATATAAAATTTCAGATGCTTTTCTTGGTTTACAGATAACTACTCCCCCCCCCCCCATGCCCTGGATCCTCCGTTTCCCCATCCTTCTCCAACACACCTTAAAGCAAGAGAAGGGGGTTAAAGTTTTAGGGACCCTGTGAGGGCTTTGCTCAGAGGGTTTTATTTGAGAGAAAGGAAAGTCACACCCTGGGTTTTAGGTCACTGGAGGTAAGCAACAATTGAGGTCAGGCAAAACCCCATCTCCTATCCTCTAGCAGCTGCTTCTGAGTCCTGTGGGTTTCAGCACAGAGCCCTAGACCAACCAAACGGAGTACAAAGGGCAGGGAAAAGACCTGGTGTGAACTATAGACTAGCATCTCTCCCCAGTTTAGAAGCCCGCCCCTTTTGTTCAAGGGCCTGCAGCTTGCATTAGTTAAATTCTGATTGCACAAGGCCAGCAGAAAACACACTGAAAAACATCGTCTCCTTTCCTTGCAGGGCAACGCGCCCCACGCGTGTGACATCGAGAGACGCGATGGATGCGCCTTGCTCTTACTGTGCAAGTCCTGGGAACATATGGGCCACTGAAGCCCGGTGGTGTTGAGGACATAGATTCAGCAGCTGCTGGGGTCACGAGCCACAAGGGCCCTTCCTGCTCTGGGTCTCACCCTAAGGGCTAAGGCAACCCAGAAAGCCAGTTCCCGAGTAGGTAAAAGGGCGGTGCCCCACTGGCTGCTGGGGGGGAGGAGTCCCAGAGCTCTGAAAAGTCTTTTTTGCCTCTAGCCGTCACTCCTAGCCCTACTCTCAGGGACATTGTGGCCTGGAAAAGTCCATGGAATTTGAAACTTCCACGTGTTCTTTTCTTCCAGGAAGGAGATTGTCTCTACCCTCACTCTCTTGAAGTGTGGGTATGAAGTAAGAACTGTCTACTTGGGTAGGTAGGCTTCCTTAGATGCCCTGCTGTGAGCGAAGGTGCAGCTAGACAGACTCCCCTTGCCAACCCCCCTCCCCCAGCTCCCCTCTCCTCCAGGAATGAGCCCTCAGTTTCTGTCTCTTCTTCCTTTTTACTTCGGACCTCCAACCCCTTGCTTTCCTCAGCCAGGCCGGCTACGTTTATCTGATAATTGAGTTATTAAAAGATTTGGTTTCCTTGGGCTTATAAATCAATAAACAGTAGGATTAACACAAGGGTTTGCCTTTTAAGTCAAGGAAACCGTTTAAGGCCAGACCCTTTGAGTTCTGTTTTCAAACCAAACAGGTGACTTGCAGTCCCGTCCACTCTCCAGACGTTTTATGCCCCTACTAAGTCCTGGGGTTCCAATCCAAAATAGCTAAAGAGTAAGCCTGCCTGCAGGCTGCCGGCAACCGAGTACCTTGGAGGTTCTTCCAGTCCCTCTTAGGAAATCCCGCCTTCTCCTATTTGCATTCTGGGTTTCACGGAGTTTGTTTCCAGGTGAGGAGTCCATCTCCAGGGACCTTTAACTTCCATTTCAACTAGGAAGTAACTTTCTTCTCTCCCTTTCCCCGACTTATCTTGCATTTTCTTCTAGCTTTCTCCGCCCCCATATAAAGAGCCCAAGAGGCCTTCAACTTTTGTTTTCATTGGCCAAAGAAATCGCTTTCACATAGGCAATTATTTCGTGTCCTATGAAAACTTTGGTCGAATGGAAAAGCCCATTTTATCCACAAGTCCCTTCACTTATCTACATATTTCTTCCGTGGGTACAAGACCTACCCCCTAGTTAGAGAATCCAGTCAACACATCTGCTACCCTGTACTTGCAATGCATTAGCAAAAGAAAATAATGAACTTAAACCATCCAGCCCTGCCTCAAGAGCTCCACAGTGTTCCCCTCCTTTGATGGTGTATGTTAAATTATTGGTGAAAGAAAAGAGAAATAGTGAAATTCATCCATTTTCTTTAAGGAAAGAAAAAAAAAAACATAGTGAACACCATTCTTAAATGTCAAAATTGACCCCCCCTTGAGTTGGTGTCTAATTCACTAACATTGTTTTTACCACCCAGTCAAGAAATACCAACTGCTTCTTCTTTAAGAGCACTCTGGAGGGTATCCGTGTTAAGTTTGTATATATTTATTTATGCTTAATTTAATGGGAATGTGTAAATATGATGAGCAAGTAGTTTGGGATTATTTATCTGTGAATCTATACCTCTGTGAATGGGTGGTTAAAAAAAAAAAAAAAACCGCTTGACCCTAGGTAGAATCCTATCTGAATTTTTCTGTTCTTTATAGACAAGCTGTTATGGTATTGGGTAGATATTGGTTTATTGTCCAGTGTTAATCTGATTTACATAAATAAAAAGATTGTTGTGTTTTTGTTGTGTTCTCATCTTCAGTTTTTTAAACTTGGATATTGTTTCATTCTACAGACAGAAAAGAGATATAGCAAAAAGCTTTCTTCCTTTTGCCTCACTCCCACTGAACTACATACAGTGTTTTTGTTACAACGGAAATACAATAAATTATACTTATCAGAAAAATGAACACTTTCGTTTCCAATAGGAGGTGCTTTTTTTTTTTTTACTTTTCAATTTCCAAATGGATACTAGTCCTGATCATATTTGTAATAAAAGTTCATGTTAACTGCATCTTATTGTTTATTTTACCCTTAAAAGAAAAGGGGTGTTATATGTACTCTTTGGGTGGCTAAAATATTCCGAGTCCAGGTCAAAGATGCTACAGTGGGAAGTTGGGTGGGCTAGGTGTTTCCAGGTGATGTTGGTACACACTGAGAAACTAGGTGCTGGCTCCTGCACTTGGAGACCTGAGTTCTGAAGGGGTTAAGTGGTCCATTTCTGGATAGAATCCCTTCCTTACTTCACCAGTAAAAGGGTGTCTGCAAATAAATGATAAAAAAAGCTCCCTTGGTTTCGAAGACTGGGGAGTTGTACATGACTTAGGAGGCTCTTTCTTATCTTTGGTTATGAGGCTGGCTGGAAGCAGCCAGCTCTTCTCACATGAGTTAAAGGACTTTGGCTTAGCCCCATAAGCTTCAGCAACTAAACATCTCAATCTGTATTTTGTCTCAAGCTGGGGGTAGCTTCCTAGAGGCCAAGAAAGCAAAGTCATTCAAGATAGTACTATTTGTACAAATCACCACCTCTTTTGGGTCATCACAGGCTTTATCTGTCCTTTTTTACAGGGTCACTGTCTAA